CATACATACATACATACATACATAAATAGACTCATTAAAAAAAAAAAGAAAAGAAAATGACTAATATACAAGACTTTAAGGAGTGTAGTTTGGTTTTGTTTTGTTTTCTGAGCAGAGTAGAATGGGAAGGATTGCCGTGGTGATGTGATCAGCATACACCAGGTCAGGTATGCTGAGCACAAATTAAGAAATATCAAATAGTTCCTTATAATTATATCAAAATGAAAGGGAAGAGTAAGGCTTCACGGATAATGTTAAGCACAGAATGGTAATACTGAACATGAGCTAACAGTAAGTCCTCACTTAACATTACTGATAGGTTCTTGGAAATTATGACTTTAAGCAAAACAAGGTATAACAAAACCAATTTTATCATATAAACAGGCGTTAAGTCCCTAGTCATAAAAACATCACCAAATGTCTAAATAAAGACCAAAACACTTCTAATATTAAACCATAATTTTTATCCGTTCATTCATTTATTTTTTAACCTGCTTATTCTAGTTCAGAGTCTCAGGTGGCCAGAGTTTATTCTTGTAGCTCAGGGTGCAAGGGGGGAACTTTGGACACCTTTTATCACAGGGTACACCTGTGTGTGTGCAGGAATATACACACACACAAAAAAAAAAACCACTCTGAGACTATGACAACATAGATATAGCAGTGTACATCTTTGGGATGTGGGAGAAAACTGGAATACCTGGAGAAAACCCACACAGACATGGGAAGAACATGGAAATCTCACACAACAGTGGCCCCAGATGGGAATTGATTTTTGTCCTTATCAATGTTATAATGAAATGATATGTACCTGCTTTCCACACCATATTCTATTTCTAATAATAAAATTCCAGAGCATTAAATTGTTAAAGAGCACAGATACCATCTAAGCATGTAAGAAAGAGTTCAGAATACACAGCTAGAATCCATGTACTTCTTACCCTCCTCTACACAAACCACTGACCTAACAGGCAATAGATGAAGTTTGAAATTAAAAACAAACAAACAAGCAAACTCCTGTCCATAAGCAAAAGCCTTTTTGCTTGGCAGCTCCACTGATGAGTTCAGTTCCATCTCTGCATTCTCCATGTTAATTTCAAGGTGATATGTCATATAGTAAGAGAACATTTTAAAAAATCTTATTGCAAAGGATCTAATTTTTGTTTCTAAACAATTTCCCTTATTTTAACGCACTATTTCTTCCACTATTTTTAATAGGATGACAAGAAAAACTGTTATAATGTGTTTATTTTCTTTTAATTTATCCTCCTGGATAGTGTTAAGATATCTAGATAGATTCTAAGATATCTAAAGAATCCCCTGGAGAATTCAAAGGTCCAAAATAACTAACTGATGATTGTGTGTGCTGGGCAGTATGTGAAAGAATAGCAACAATGAGTTTGGAGTTCAGAGAGACCGCTTTCACTAAGTGATTTTGTCAAACTGGAAAAATCCTCTAACTGTTTTGCCCTTAGTTTCTTCTCTGGAAAGCAGAGCAGTTATCATAAAATGACATACAAAGTACCTTAAACCTGTGAACTTTCATAGTAAATTATTTCCCTGGGGAACTCAAAAGTTAAAGTATTTTATAATTTCAAAACTAAGTCTAGAGAAATCACAACTATGTAACAATGCCGAATGGAATATGCTTGTAAATATTTTAGAAACACTGTCAAAACAGAGCCAGCAGAGGGCGTTTCATTCCTGAGTGCGGTGCTGAAGGAGGCGGGTCTCCAGTCTGCAGGCAGAATTCAGTGTCCTTGCTTTGCTACTAACACTGCTTGAGCAAGATTTTGCAAGCTGTAGTTTTACTACAAATCTGAGCAAAGCTTTGCAATTTTTCAGAAATAAATATAAAAGAAATTACTCTCCATCTTTAGGATTTTAAATATGATGCAGTTTTTGAAAGGAAATATAGACATTTAATCTTTCATTGTGTGAAGCAGTCTTAATTTAATGTGGAATATTTTATTTAGTTTCTTCCATTTTATTAAATTCCTGCATTCTTCATTCTTAATTTATTGTGCACAGGTTGACAAGCTCATTATGAAATAACAATTGGTCACACATTCAATTTGGTTATAACTTTATTACTCTTAGAGGCAGATAAATTATAAACCAATTCACCTAACATCTCATGAATTCAAACCGACAAATGTAGAATATTTTAGATCATTCTCACAAAAGTCCTTAAAAAGTGTTTAAATATCCTAATCATACTTAAAGAATCATACTGTAGAATATCTTTAAATGTATTTCCTCAATAAGAAAAATCTAGAATACATCATATACATACATGAAATAATGAAAATGTTTTCCTTTTCTGAAAAAAAGACTAAGATTGAAATGAATTGAGATTCAAATTGGCTCTTATCCTTTGTATGTTATGAATTACTCTTAAACTCATTTGAGTACATCAATTCAAGACAAAATTCAATCTGACCTCAGTAAAGAATACATAAAAGCACCAGGGTAAATCACCAAGTCACAGTAAAGAACCATTTTGAGATATATTTGAATAGAAAATGATTATGAAAAAGATTGATCTGATGCTTTTGGAAATTGTAACTCGATATTATAGTGTTCTGCCCAGATACCAATGTACAATTGATGTGAAATCTAAAATCAGCTTTCCTTATATCATTTGCAATGACAATTTGGGAAACTTAATTCCATGGCCTTAGTCCCTTCAGCCATGTTAAGAAATAAAAGGAGATCTATTGGTTTTCAAAAACTGCCTTATCAAACTATCACATACTAGGGCTTACAGCAACAGAAATTTATGGTCTTGTAATTCCTGAGATCATAGGAGTTTGAAAGTAAGGTATGAGAGAGACAATATTCCTTCTGGAACTTGTAGAGGAAAGTCAGTCCTTGTTTAGTCTGGCTTCTGATGTTGGCCAGCCATCCTTGATGTCACAAGGCTTATAGATGCACACTTCATCTCTGCCTCCATGTCTCTGTCTTCTTCTTATAAGGATACCAGTCCTTTTGGTTTTGAACTAAGGACATGGTATACTCCAATGTGACTTCATCATAATGAAACTAAAGACATCTACAATATGTTCACATTCTGAAACACTGAGAGTTAGGACAGAAACACGTTTTCCTAGGGGACACAATTCAACATGTAATAGGAGTTACCAACAGGTGGAGAAATTGCAGTATCTTCATGGAGAAAGTCGTTGTTCTCCTTTTAGAGGAAGGGGCTAGAATTCTAGTTTCCAATGACAAACCCACTGAGAAGAGGACTCATGACAGGGGTAGGTGCTGGGTGTGAAACCTTGCCACTGACCAGGGCCCTTTACTCTTTGAAGTCTTCACTATTTTTGAACTATAGGTCCTGCAGTTTCTTTCTGCATTGGGCCTGCAAACTATGTAGGACACCACATTGAGAGTTTCTTATCTGCTTCTTGAACTTCGGGAGTCTTGGAGGTTGTGACTGCACTCATACAAGATGAAGCTGGCCCGTGACAACAGGATTACAGTGAAGTGCCTAGTACAGCTTGCCTTCATAAAAGGTGGCCCACTAAAACATAAGCAGTGAGAGATGCTTAGCATGGGCATCTCGAAAGACCTACAAAGACGCTCATGAGAGGGAATTTTCCATCTGTGCCTGGCCAGAGAACAGGAAGTAGTTCTAAAGAGACAGGTCAAGTAAGACATCTTCTATACCTTCACTACTGTGGAAGAATAAAAACTGAATAGTAACCTGGGTGAATTTGGGGATTTGGGGGATTGGGGTATGGGCAAGGAAGGTGAAATTAAGAGGTTGCAGTAGAGAAATCAGTGATGCCCTATCTCACTGCAGGTTTCCAACCTAAAGCAGGCCCAATTTAGAGAAGAGGAGAAAATTTGACATTATATTGTATTTGGATTTTTGATTAATAATATTAAGACCATTCTAATTTCTGAATTGAACTCCAAGTGGACCTAGACAAGTAAGCAGAACTATCATACATCCTATAGATTTTACTTAGAAGTAGGGAGAGATATATTATCTCTTTCAATACTTTTTTTTTTCAATACAAAGGGTTAATAAGTTCACAGTCTGAATTGTGCGGCCCCCCCCCCAGCCCCAATTCATATGTTGAAGTCTTAAGCCCAGTACCTGAAAATGTGACTATATTTGGAGATAGTGTTTTTTAAAATATCATTCAGGTAAAAAAAAAAAAAAAATTCCTAGGGTAGGACTTAATCTAATGTGAATGTTGTGCTTATAAGAAGTGGTTAGGGCAGACAGGAACAAAGTGAAGACCACAGGAAGATATAGGGAGAAGAAGACCATCAACATGTCAAGGAGAGAGGCCCATCTGCTGACACGATCTCAGACTTCTAGCACCTAGTACTAGAAGGAAATAAATTTGAATTCACTAACAATGAGTTCACAATCCACCTTGACATTCTTGGATATTTCGAGAAGAATTAATGTCAAGCCCAGCCAAACCACATGAGAAAAATAGGTTTAAAGCCTATTTTTAATAAGACGCCTCAGAGAAGATAATTCTACAACTTTCAGAAATCCACTGACATTACTTAATACAGTTTATGTGATGTATTTATGGGAAGTATGATTTAGACTTCTACATGAAAAACATCATTGTCTGTTGATTTGGGCAATTGGTCGTAAGTGGCAGGAACACCGACTGCCCTTTACTGAGCCCCATGCAATTGTAGCTTTATTGTATTGAACCTGTTGTGAGCTTTATAAGCTTTGTAAGTCAAGTCTAGTGCAGGAAATGAAGTGCCAATAAATAATAAGCATTTCATAATTTTATTTGTTAAGTTGAGCCAAATGTTATTAAACACATGACACTATCCCTCTCTTGCAGTTGAGGAAAAACATTCAGAGATGAACTAGCTTTTGCAAAGCATACAGCAGAGATCATTTGAAAACACAAGTCTATCTGATATGAAAACTTCCACAGTTAAGTCTCCTATACTGTGGCTTTTTATTTTTAAGTGGATATTATTTTACTAACTGAATTTTATATTTTCAGGTATTTTCTTATACTGCTGACAAAGAAATCCGGACCGATGATTTGTGCTTGGATGTTTCTAGACTCAATGGACCTGTAATCATGTTAAAGTGCCACCATATGAGAGGAAATCAGTTATGGGACTATGACGCTGAGGTATATCTTTTTCTTAATTTACTACTTACTAAATCTTAAGTTCAAATACTTTTAAATTCTAAGCTATTTTTTCTGCATTGGAAGAAAGAACTGCACTGTCAACCATGCCTGCTCATATCTGATAATATTAGGAAAATATATCATATAAATAGGCTTTTACCACTCATCCATTAGTATGAAATATGAATGAAGAAAATAAAATCATTTTTATGTGCTTAAAATTTGTGATCACTGTGTACATGCTTAACAAATTATTTTAGAGACAAACTAGCTTATCCGAGAGGTATGTATGAAGATGTGTATACAGGACAATATCAACAATATTTATCAAATTTTACATTTTATCCCATTGTAATCAGTGATATTTATGCTTATGAACTTAAGGGGAAAAAGAAAATAGCTAATAATATCTGCATGAATGCTCTTTATAGTAGTAAACACTTTACAGAATTCAATAAACTAATTAGGTATATTATCAGCTCTGCAGCATCTTCTCTATTGCACATTTTTCTGATAGACGGGCACAAGAAACAGCAATAAAATTACTATTGGGAATTTATAGCCTGGCAGTGTGTAAAAACCAGATCAACCATCAGATGGAGCTAATAAAAAAGAAATATTCCTCACTACATAAGGAAGCTGCCTTGAAACAGCTTCATTTCTTTCAGTTCCCTTTGCTTAGTGAAATGAATTGGATATTTGCGTTATATTTTCTAAGTTTCTAAATGGTTGGTGACTTATTTAAGATAAGAAATAAACTTCACTTATACAAGATACATAACACAATAGAAGTAAATGAATTTCACAAGTGCAGTGTTCTCTGCAAGCCTAAAATACTCTGTAACAGTATTTTAAAAAGTAATCTACAGAGTTGTTGGTATTATTGATAATTTAATAAGGTCTTCTTTTTAAAAACTTTTTATATGTCATTTTAATTTTTTGTGTAAAGTGGAATATCATGAAAACTTACTGAATTTTTCTATTATTTGAAACCAGTTGCATCATGTTAAAATTGACCCTGAAATTTATGCATTACCAATGTCAATGTACATAAAGTATTCTGCTATGAAGGGACAACATCCTGAATCTTCCTGTGTTGTAATAATGTTCTATATTCAGACTCTTGCTTTCTCAATGCTTGTTCACTTTCTTTATCTGGCCATGTTTTTCCCTCGTCAACTATTATTTATTATCACCACCCTTTATATAAAGCCTACAGAGACATCTTCTCTAATAATACATATAGGTAAATCTGGACCCTTAGTCAGTTCCCTACCTCTTCTATGAAGACAAGTACAGATAAATGAACAGATTTTTTTTTAATTCTGCAAGTAATATTTTTTAATAAAATTTGTTCTTTAGTTTTTACCGGGAACCCAGGACTTTATTAGGCGCATGCTGAAAATGAATAATCTAGCATTTATTAATCAAGTAAGGAAAGGGAATAAGTATACATATTTTATAAGATGAAGCAATGTTAAATTTCAGATACCACTTTTAAGATTTAAACTATCTATACTTTTATTGGACAGTGCCTTATATAATCATAATTTAAATCCATATACTTCTCAAATAACTGCTAATGATAATTAGTTGTATGTTTTTATTTATGTTATTAGTAATATTATAGAATATGAAGGGACTTTGAAAGACAAGTGAAAAAAAGACATAGGTTTCACATAAGATTAAAAAATATGATTTTTATAAATGTACTATTTTGGATGACTGGTAGTTAGTAGTTATCTACTGCAGTATTTTAAACATTGTGCTGTTTTGTGTTTTATAAACTTTATTTCTAGGAGGTACACAAAAATGTTTATATTTTATAAATATAAAAATGGATATATAAACATTTTATAAATGCTTATGTATCCATAAATACTGATAAATGTTTATTCTAAATAATCTTGCCATCTTTATAATTGAATAACAGTTTAATTTACTGCCTTATATGTGTATAGTCTCACAACTAAATTATGTTCTATTTGAATAAATGTAAAATTTTAAATCACAGTGTAGATTTTTTGCCAAATTAAACAATGAATGAGACATAATATAAGCCACATGAGTCTAGAATAATTGTAAGAATGACACATTTCCTTTCTGAAATTTTTAGTTTTGAAATAAAAGACTGGCTTTGCGAAGAAATCAGAAAAAAACTTAATAAAATTAAAACATAACATATTTTATGATTATTTTTTCTTTTAGGTTTTAGGTTTAGGATCACTTCTTCTACAACCATCTCAACCAATGCCACCAAAGTGTGATGCTCTTGTAAGACCAGTAATGTTACCTGAGAACATGTCAGGAATAAGGCATCTGAGGCCTCACCCTAGACACACTAAATCCGAGTCTGTATTTCTACAAAGTCCCCTGGTCATTCACATACACATTAATGAAAGTATGAGAAAGACAGATATGGAAAATGGTCAAACATCCATTTATCTTCCTTAATCTTTTTGTACGTGGTTGAAAACAATTCCAGAATTAGGAAAGGTATATGTACATTTGGGGAAGTGGCAGTGTCTGCAGGATATGAGAAAGAGAAAGGCAGCCCAGAGTGAGAATTGAGGCGTGGGCAGGAGGAGTGATTGCCAGGTGGCTTTATTCTCATATCCCAGGCAGGTGCTGTTTACTACCTCTTTATTCCAATTCTTTACTTTTACTATCAAGGGCAAAATGATTCTTCTCTGAGAAACTTCTGAGGTGGTACAGGTTCAAAGTAGAATAAAACTTGGTGAAGTTCACAAAACTATAGAACTGAAAAAGACCATAAAATTCTCTCCTTTCAGCCTTTATATGAAGGAAGTTGAACACAAAGATGACTGCCAGTAGCTAAGGCTGGATTTAGGTCCTAATAAAGTAATCAAAGAAAGCTAGTTATCAGTGCTATTGTGAATCTCCAGTGTGAACAGCTGAAATATTCCGTCACTTATCTCCCACGGCCCTTTCAGACTTAGAAGAGTTAATCCTAAATAGAAGCGGGAATGTTGGCATAGCCGGGGAAAATTAAAACACTATTACAAAGCCTCACAGTATGGATTCCAGCTGCTCTGGTTTGTTTACTTCTTAGGTGATTGGGGGGAAAGAGAAGAGAATGAAGTAACTATTGAGAATCTATACTGTTATCTGGTTTTTCTTGCAATTCTGACCAGAGTCCTATAAGATAGTCTTCTTTGAATCTTCACATTAGTAAACTGAAGCTTAGTGTCTAAATCCCTTGTCTAGGTTTGCACATCCCAGGTTTCCGGAACCAAATTCAGCCATCTTTCCACTACTACATTGTCTCTTGAGGTCATTGAAAAAATAGAAACAATTAGATGCTTGCAATGATGGTGATCTGATAAGCTAAATGATGTAAAGTATTGCAAATGAAAAATATGACTAAATACTATCAGTTATTTGAGGTACCAAATTTTAATTGCGTAGAACTTCTCCCTTAATAACTGAAAGCATGTACTGCAATAAATATTGTCTATTTAGGTAAGCAGTTACAGTACTACTTTTGTCAGTATTGTCTAATCCCTTACAAATTTTAACATACTTATTCACAGTGTAATTAATATCTATGTATTCTTTTACTTGAATAAGACTAAGTTGGTAATAAATAACACAACCATGACCTTAACTTGGTATCACTTTATTCCTGGCGAAATATGTCCGATTTTGTACCAACCTCAGAGTATCATTAGTAAAACTGCAAGATCCATACCTGGCCTAGAATCAATCTCTTGAATAAATAACCTGAACACTCTGATGCTGTGAAAGTCCATTGGGACATCTCACTGAAGCATTTTAAAAATTATTTTTATAAATGTCTGTCATCCATCATTCCTATTTTCTTATATTCTATTTGGACTATACAATTGTATTCCAATCCATTTGATATTTACATTTTCCTGTAATAAGTGCACATAATTGCATTTCTTTTTGAACATTCAGGCAGCTACGTACAGTGTGAGAATCTAATTTTAGAACAGAACACTTATGCTTAACAAACACTATGCAACAAAGAAAAAACAGGGAGCAAAATATGATGCTAAAAATAAGTCGTGCTTTTCATGTGACTGAGCAAGTTGACTGAGAAAATACTTGTTCTGAATTTGATATTCATCTGTATCAAATATTCCTCAGACTAACTAGATAAGTAATTTTTTTCAGTAGGTAAAATATGTTAGATTAATAATTATAGAAATCATAGATTTATATTTAGACATAATCCCTCTTTCATTTACCTTTATCAGAAAGCAGGTAAATGGGAATATAATTTCAAGGTAAGTGATCTATAATTAGAAAGCTGGAATTTCCCTGTGCAGCATTCCTAATAAAAATAGTGGCTTGATTTACATTTTGAAGGCTGTGTGTTAGCTTTCCATATTTCTGTTGTCCCATAGCTGTGATTCCTTAAATAGAACCATTAGTGAATAGCATTTCAATAGTTTAGTGTCACATTTTTTAGTTCTTGCTTAAATACAGTTGATTTTTAGAACACTGATATTCTATTCTACTGAAAGCACAGTTCTTCTTGGGAGGAGATCATACTTTTGGATAATAACTGTATTACACTAATGTTTAAATAATTGTGATTCTACACTTGATCAATGAATTCCTACTGCCTTTGCTAGTAAATTAAATATAATAATCTATGGTTATTCTTACTAGGTTTATCATTATATATAATACCAATCAATTGGGTTTCAACCATGCAGTCACTTTTGTTTGTTCATGAAAGTATCAATTTTTTTACTTAGTTCTTTTTAATGTAAAGGAACAAAGATATGATCTAATGTTAACCATTCTTATTTTGTCACCAAAATTGTTCCCCTAGCCTTATTCCAATTGGTATTCAGAGGTAATTGTGTCTGCAGAAGGGCAGAGGTATGGATACTTCTTGACACATACAAATATGTTTAAAGGCAAGAAGTATTAAGATGTATAAGAAGTTTTTCCTATGCATCAAAAAAAGTATGATTAAATTTTCACAAATTCCAGGAAATATTAATGTAGTACCTGTCGGGGGAGTGAAACTAAGTGATGCTACTATACACAAAATAACAATTCTAGCTTATAGGTTCATAGTACCCTATTTTCTATATAATTTTCCAATATATTCTTTAAGCAAGGATAGGAAAAGATACATTAGCAGTATGCTCATTGTCACCCTTATATGTCACATTCCCTTCACCACTAACATGAAAATCTCCTAAATTTGTGAGAGGCATTTGCAACAAATGTGACAAAGGACCGATATGCTTAATAAAAAGCACTGAAAAAGAAAATCATGTACAACCAATATAATAATGTGCCAGTCCTTGAAGAAATAGTAAAGGAGAGAATTACTAATATGTATTAAAAGTTTATAACTTTTGACCTTGTGATTTCACTTCTAAGAATTGTTTATAAAACTGATTATGGGGGGCCACCCCGGTGGCACAGCAAGTTGAGCACAGCTCTGTGAAGCTGTCCACAGCCTCTACAGCACAGGTTCAATTCCCGCCGGCCAGTGCGATACCCACATGGTGTGACAGACCTCTCCTGTCTCACCCCCTGCTCCCCTCAGCAGTGCTTTCAGTCCTTCTGCCTGTTCTGCTCCCTGCTTTGTCTCTGGTGAATCCTCTCACCCTCTGACTCCTCTGGCCTGTATAAATAAAATAAATCTTTAAAAAATGATTATAGATGTGGAGAGAAATGATGAGATATTTATTTACAATAATTACAGATTGGAATGATTCTCCTCCCAAATGGAAAAGGTTAAATGAATTTTGGTACATCTATATTGTACGAATTATTTATCTTTTTACTTGTGTTTTTATAATACTTTAATGATAAGAAAGATGGCTAAGGGCCTCCCCTGGTGGCGCAGGCGATTGAGCACAGTGCTGTGAAGCTGTCCGCAGCCTCTGCAGTGCTGGTTTGATCCCGGCCGGCAGGTGAGGGTCCCACATGGCGCTGCAGACCTTTCCTGGCATGCCCACTGCTCCCCTCAGCAGTGTATTTCATCAGTCTGCTTGTTCTGTTCCCCGCTCTGTCTCTGGTGAATCCTCTCACCCTCCCGCACAGCTGGCCTGTACCCTGGTTCTTGTATAAATAAACAAACAAACAAATAAATAAATAAATAAAACTTTAAGAAAAAGAAAAAGAAAGATGGCCAATTATAAGTTGAAGGATATTTAATTAGATGCTTTAAACACACATATTTCATAGTATAAATGATAATAATTACTAGGAAGCACATAAAATAATAATTGGCATCTCTTCTAGACAGAATACTTAGAAATATCAACTCTGTAACTTTTTGTACATAATGAAAATGTTTTTGAGAATTAAAAAAAAATCTCAATGGGATTATTTGAAATTTCTAATATTTTTCTACTTTATGGATTTTTAGAAAGTTATTTCTTTTTTCATGATCATTCATGCAATAAGCATTTTGTGGGAAATATGATAAATATTTTTTTTGAAAACTTTATATTGTATTTGTGTTCTAGATTGTGTTTCTTGATTATCAAATTTTGTTTACACCAAGGAAAACCTTACAATTCATTTTTCTTTGTAATGTCATGTGAAATTGACAATCATAAACACAGGGGTCTTTTATCTTAACATGACATTTATCAAGGAAGTTCATTACAAAATCACCAAGAGTAGAGGATGATACAGTGTAGACATTTTAAATAGTATAAATAGGACAAGGCAGTGTGGTTGAAAAGAAAAGCAAACTTAAAAACAATTACCTTAATAAAGCAAACTATATCATAAGCAGCATATTAAAAATACAATTTATGATGTAATCTTTCCTATCTTTATAAAGATTTATCTGCCATTTTACTGTAAAAAGTAAGTAGTTCAAAGGGCAAGTTCAATGATTTGTGTCCATTAAGATGCTCAAGAGATAGAATTTAATTTACCAGCATTTATTTCCTGCATTGGCCTTTCACTAGGCGTTTCCATCAACAAACTTACAGGTGCCTCCTGTGGGTGGGCACCAGGCTTGATGCTATAGATGGTCATTGTGACCTTCCTTAAGCTTAAAGTCCTGGAAGAAAAGAGTTGGAGAGCAAGAAACGGACAAATTAACTGATTACAAATCATGCTTGGAGATTTAGGTAAAAGAGCCCAAATGAGTTGCTCTTTTTCTTTTTCCTCCCTTCCTTTAAATTCTAATTGACATTCAGACAGTTATGTCAGTATATCAGATATGTGGAGTCATTTTAACACCACCAGTTAGACTATTGAAACATAATGGAAACAATTTAAGTGTCGTACTTTACAAAGTAAAGCAAACTCTTATGAGATAATTCCTCTCAACTATAGCTTCCACTCAAATTTAGTACAAATAAATGAATGAGGAAATCAAAGACCACAATTGAAAACTCTTTAGATTAATCAACAATTTTGAATATCCACTCATAAAATAACTCATTTAGTACTAAAACATTTTGTTAATTGGATAAAAGCTGAGAATATAACCTATTTTATGCTCAAACATTTGCCCAAAATGTTTCATCATTTAATATCAGGCCCTTCTCCACATTCTCAGTCTTATCTTCATTTGCTCCCACTAAATACAGTTGATATTAAAACCATCTAAAAGGATGTGTTTCACAGTTCCATGGATGTAATTATTGTGACTTGTGCCTTCCATTCTTAACCAGTAAAAATTATATGTTGCTGAGAATGATTGATTGATTACTGCCTTTGTACTTCATTTTGTCATTATTCATTATTTTCTTTGTCAAACAGACCCACACTCTTCTTCACATAATCACCCAGTCCTGTCTCTCAGTAAGCAAAGTAGCTGATGGCTCCCAACACCCCACTGTGGAAACATGTAATGATAGTCCCAGGCAAAAATGGCTACTGAGAAACTATACAAGAGTGGAAGTTTCTAGAAATATCTTTGGGAATCCTACTGATTACATTCTCTAATAACCTTTAGCGATTTGTGCATCAGACTTTATGAAATATATTTTAGAATTTTTGTTGTTTTGTTATTGAAATCTGTTACTTCTTGAAAATGTAGTTTAGAAAATTCTTTATGTGTTATTTCTCCATGGATTTAATTTTCTTTTACTTAGTTGCTCATTAATTTGGAGGCTGCATATATTAAGTATTAGTCTATCATTAGTAGGTATTTTTCATTTTTTTTCTTTTGCATAATTGTTAGAATATATTATGACATATTAGTCTGTTTTTAGACTATAACATAGAGCTGTTTTTAGCTGTAAACATATATGTATGACAATAATTTTTTTGCATTAGAGCTTGTAAAAAGCAAAATAAAATAAAATAACATAGCCCAGATATGGATTGCTTTTAGAAAAGTGAATTTATTTAATTTTGATAAATTTTATTCGGATAACTTGGTTTTGTGTAGATACAGCAAATGTTTCTAGATTTTATTATTTTAATCTGAAACCTTAGGTAAATGCATTATTGAAGATCAACTGAGATGTAACTTTTTGACATAAATTACTTCTAAGCATTTCTTTGTGGTTGATTAAGTGATATAATAATAAAGGCTTTTAAAAACTTGTATCTTTTATCTCTCACTTGTATAATTTGTGGGTAACTTCTCAGTAAGCAATCTGACATGGTATCTGACTCCTCCAGAATTTTTTGGTAGCTTGTCCAAGATTTCCCAGCTAGTAAATGGGAAAGTAGGAATTCACACTATCTGACCTTAAAATAGCTCATGTTTCTAATGTATAATATTAAAAGAGAGAGTTTTTGGTTGATTCATTTGGCTGGTTGATTATTCTTTATAGTAGTGTCTTTTGACTATTAGTGAATTCCTTCAAAAAACTATTTAGACTTTTTTTTTTTTAGAAAGAGCAATGCTAATATAATCTTAAAATCTATCATTTATGTAGTTAATAAATCATTTAATCTGATGCTTAAAGTCATATACACTTAGGAAAAAATCTAATAGAAACACCCAAGAGTAGTTTTTTTAAAGAGGATATATATGTAAAGGACCTCAGGTATGTAATAAAAATGAAAAATATTTTGTTGATTTTAGCTGAACTTTAAGAATAAAATGATTTTATTTTGTATCTTCTTTTCAAGTAGTTATTGGTTCTTAAGCCAACAGCATAGTTTTTGGCATCCCTAGCCTAAATCAACCCATCTTTTTGCCTATCTTTGTTTCTTTTTTCATTTTTCAGTACAA